GGCCGTTGGCCGCCCCCTCCCTCAGGTGCGGCGCGAGGCGGCGCGCGGAGCCCGCGCCCGCCGGGAAGACCCCGGACCCGCGGGCCGGGTGGGCAGAGATTTGTTACTGCTTGTACAAACGAACGCGCCGCGGCCCGGCAGGCTGCACCCGCGCCTTGGGCGCTGGGGGGAACCTTCAACCGTGGAGTTTTTCCTCAGGGAGCGCAGCGGGGCGAGCGCGAGGGAAGGTGCGGGGCTGCCGGAGCGGGTGATGCCTCCTGCCCTGGCGCGGAGCCGGCCCTGAGGGAGGCTGAGGGGGAAAGGCTGCGCAGGATCCCCGCCAGCACCTCCCGCAACGCGCCCGCCTGCAGCCTGGCACCTCGGGGTACGGGCAGGCCTCGCCTGGTGCAAAGTTTCGTTTCCCAGAGCCAATATCTCGCCTTTGAGGCGCTTTGCCAGAAGCACGGCCGCCCTTGGGCGTCTGGCGCGGCCCGGTCGTGCCCGGCTCGCTGGCATGGCCTGTGCGGGCAGGAGATGCGATGCTGGCACCTTAGCAGCTGTGCAGGGATTTCTGCAGTGTTTGACCAGTGACATCTTGTGGCCACGTGTTTTTTTTTTCCAAAAGAATAATCTGTATAATCATGAACCAGAAAAGAAACATTTAGAACCTAAGAACTTAGTCTACTTCATCTGTGACGGCAAGAAAAATACCATGTATTTTCCCTGCTACATCACTGTCGAAGATTAAATCCCTGCTACTTTTTGAACCTCCTGTCACTGCCTACCAGGCGCTACTGCTCGCTGAAATTGTCTATTGCCAGTGCTAGATGTGACACAAAGCAGTGCAGAGACACGGTGTCACTGGGAGAGAGGAGTACTTGCACCCCAAGCTATGAAAATGCCTTATGGATGTTCATGTTCCGGGCTGCCATTTGGATAGTCTGGAAGTTAGGATTGCATGTTCAAATTGAGTTGTTATCAAATATCAGGAACCTGGAAATTAACACAAAAGTGAGGAAATGCTCTAGCAAATGTTCAGATGATGAGCCCTGAAGTGCCCTGCTCACGCAAGGAGAGGAAAGTGCTTCAGCCGAAGGCGTGAAGCTGTTTCTTTAGCAGGAACACGAGGAAATTGCCTCCGAGTGTTCTCCCAGTGCATGCCTTGAGCTGCGTGGTGCTCCCGTGCCGTGCCGTGCCATTTCAGAACACCTTGGAGCTTTCCCAGTGCTCTTGGAAGGGCAGCTGCAGGCGCAACGTTGTGACACTCAGCACGTGTAGCTGAGCGTGTTTCAAGAACTGATACATCCAGGAATCCCTGGGGGACGTGTCTTCCCTCTGCAGTTACCATTTTTGCAGTCCCTGTTTCAAGCCGTGAGATTTTAGCTGTGTTTTTACCACGCGGGACAGTGTGCAGCACAAGCGGCTCTTGAGCTGTGCCTGACTCTGCCCTGTGCTCTATATCTGCAGTCAAATCTCGGTGTCTTTTATCCCTGCTAACAGCCACAAGAACACACTTCCACTCTCCGAAGAGCTTGCTGCATGTGAAAACGGCGTGTTCATCTTCAGGTGGCTTCATTAAACTGTCTCTCTGTTTTGTTTTACTTTTTCTTGTACTGTTTTTAAGTCAGTCGTGGTGATCTGCGTTGCACATGATTCACCAGTAAACAGGCAAAACTGCACAAAAAGTTTAAATCACTTCAAGAGAGGTTTGTCTGCAAAGATGCGCAAACTTAATTTAGTATATAGATCGATATGACCTTGTGTTTAAACAGAAAATACACTTTGCTATTTCTTCGAATCACCAGCAGAAAAGCTGATTTTTTTTTAGTTGCTGCAAATTCTGTTAAAATATTTCAAAAAATGGTTTGCAAAGACGACAGTGTGTGTAGGCTTTGTAGGAATACTGCAAGTAGGGTTAAGGTTGAACTGCAATATTGAGTCTGACAAAACAGTGCAGGCTGACCTTGCTTATGAGACAACGGAAAGTGTCATAAGGAGAAATAATAATCATCAAAGAGTAAAGAAAGCTTCTATTCAAAGGCTCTCTAACCTCTGTGAGGTCTGGCAAATGTTAATAGAACCTACACTATTTTTTTTGTAGCTTACCTCAACAAGGGATGCTTTTAAAAGTAGTTTGATGCCATGTCTTGGGATATTCCCAGCAACAAAAAAAGTGGAAGAATACTTTTTTACTGTTACATATTTTTTTTTATAAGTAGTTATGTAAAGACATGTAATCAAATCTTTGTAACTACTAAAATATGGACTGAAGATGATTGAACTGCATAGTGACTTGGTGCTTTTCTTGTACAGGGCTCCATATTCAGCTCAGCACACCTGAGCTAGGAGGTTGTTTATCCAAGGAAAAGTTCTGAAAGTTCAACCTAACACAAAGCTCTTCCTGCAGTCGGAGCATCAGAGAGCAGCTCCTGGTCCTGGCTCTTGTGGTAAGTGGATTTCACTTGTTTGATGGGCAGGATCCTGCCTAGCAAGGTCTATCTTTGAGCAAGAATTCCATGTTATGTAGCCCCTGCCTGGAAACACAGGGGATGGATTTTGCCTTCTGCATTTATAGCTTGCAGCCAACATTGCCATGATAGCAACTTGGGCATAGTATTATTTTAAAATGAAGCTTTATTAGTTAGCTGTCTGTGTTAATTCATGCATTCAACTCTAGCTGCTGTCATTAAGCCTGGAGGGACTTGCAAATTATTTGCACAAAAAGAGCTTTTGTGAGTGTCTAGATTCATGTATAGTTAGTTTCCAGTTATTTCAGACTTTAAAATGATTATGGTTTAGAAGCAGAAGTGATGTTTTCACTTTTTGTTCAGTTGAATGTTGCTTTGAAACAAGACAAGTTTCTTTCCTATGTTTTGATGAAGTCTTTGCTGTCTACATTTTATATTTGTGCTTTGCAAAAGGTCTGTTGGATGAGCTTTTTGCAGTTGATCATATTTTTTTCCAACAGTAGATGGCAATATCCATTCATTTGTAAAGCATAACAGCTAAATTCAATGCATTACGAAGTCTAAGGTGTAAGTAGAGTCATAGTTAGGGAGTTTAAATAAAACTATTTCTAAAAATCTTAGGTTTTTTTGAGTACAGGTAAGCTTTTATGAAATGGCAACTTTTCCAATTTAAACGATTGTTATAAAATCCACTTTTATGTGAAAATTTGAAGGATACTATTAAGCTTCACAGCAGGGTATTATGATTAACTGCCATCATATATAAAATATAGAAAAAAAATTTTTTTGATAAGCATTTTAGTTACACTTAAGTGATGCTGGTCAAGAACTTTATATATTTTAATCTTGGTGTTGTCTCATTCAAGCTTTCTCAAAATAACTGCCATTTTATAACTGCCAAATATAACTGCCATTTTATATTTCACTTACAAAATTAAACATATTGTTACATAAATTAAGGTTATTTTGTTCTGCCTATATACTTTAAGATTAATCCTAACAAATTCGTTTGAAACCTTGACCCCTCTGAAATGAGTGTTGGAGTTCTGCATTTGAAGCTCTTCTTGTATTTTAGTTTTGCTTCTAAAAATATGTTATATAATTTGCATCTGGGTGTGCAAATACTAGCCTTTCTGCTATACAGCAATACATACTAACAATATATATTACCCCATATAAGATGCGTATTATAGGCTGGATCCTGCTCTCGTTTTCTTATTTGTTTAAATAAGTAAGTATGTGAGTGAGGAAGGCAATTGCCTATAATGAAGTTGTAATCAAGTCACAAGGCTTTTGGGAATTTTACAGCTGCAAACCAAAGTTCTCATGCATTACGATAGTGTTCTGTTTTGCAATGATAACAAGTTTAGAGGCTGGCGTTCCCCTGTTGTTATTGAAAAGATAATCAGACTTTTGTATTTTATGATGAAAAATTGGCAGCTATGGTAGCCTTATTGAAAAAATTTTGGTTTGACAATTAGTATTTTAATACGTTT